TGTAACTGTTAGGGATACGTCTTATTTCCTCTGAAGTGGATGTTCGATAAGGAAGTACTATAGTACTTATCCAATCTTTATGGCTTGACTTTTCCATATTTTTGTTCGATAAACTTTTTTCGATCCTCTTTAATAGTTTGTCTGGATAGTTATTTAGTCTTAAGACTTCCCGAACAAGTCGCCTATCTGCTTGCTGAGATTCCACTTTATTTGGTATCCTTCGCGATCTCGTCAACAGATTTTTGGCAACGTTTAATTTAGTTTCCAATGGATGAGCTGAATCAAAGTCAAGGTACTTATTAGAATGTGTATCTTTTCGATAGACATCAATGTCAAGTGTCCCATCACTGTTTCGTATCGCCTTGCAGTCTAGGAAAGCTAACGTTCTGAATTCTGTTTCTAGTTCATATATGAATTTTACAGAACTAAAACGGTTGTTTAGGTATTCGACCTCCTATTATTTAATTTAGATCTTCCTCACGGAATGCAATCTTTAAATATGATATATGTGTATAGGAATGTCTAGCTTGAGAATAAATTGGTTGAAGAGTCCCCTTCATTGAATATCTTGTTTTTTATGTCACAATGGGAATTATGAAGTAAGGATAAAATTCAAGGTTACATTTTGTCTGGAAAGCTGAATGATCACAATAGTATCCAGATGAGAAAATTTGTTGAGCGCAATGTACTTCCCTTTGATACGAAGTAGGAGTATTTCGCCGGTCGGAGAGCTTAAAATCGAGTGCAGGTTTTCTTGTTGGGCGATTGTTTACGGCGGAACGTCTTATCATAAACTGTTGGATATAGACTACACTAATCAATTATCCTACTGTGTGGAAGATGGTACATCAAAGCGGCAGAAAAATGGTGCGACTAGTGATAATAGAGATGATAACAGAGATTAACCAATTCCAATGAAGTAATTAAAACTCAGCACCAATTTTTGGAATCGATCATCGAATCAGATATGCAGAACAAATTAACAACAGCCACCACCTCAAACCATTGGTGAGTAGAGGAGTCAAAAGTTGGATGATAAACTACTTAAGCTACCACAGCCAACAAAGAGGGGATTAAAGGATGGACGGGTAGTGTGTATTTCAGAAACCTCACTGTCTACGATTTTTTTTCAGAAGGGACTGAACTGCAACACTGGAAATACAAACAAGCTTAAGAACCTCAGGACAAATTGCTGAGCAACAACAGGAATTACGTCAAACATTTTTACCTCTAGTGAAAATCAACACTTACTACGCACTAATTTCTGACAAGACAATTGTAATATTACCTTCTGATAAAGGAAGGAAAACCGTCGGCATGAACTAAACAGACTATATCAAAAAGACATAAGAATTACTAAAGGATGAAAGTGTGTACCAACAACTAGACCAGAATCCAACTAAGCAGCTGAACAATCAGAATCAATGTAAACTGTGGAGTTTAGTCAAAGCCGGTCAAACCACAGAAGAAGAACAAAAGCAGATGAAGACAAATGGACCGGTCCTAGCTAGGTTCTACAGTCGACCTAAGATACATAAGATAAATAGTTCACTGTAACCAGTCGATTCTCACCATCTTGTCATTCTTCCTTTCTTTCTTCCGTTGACTGAATTTTCTTATCTTCTTCTTTCACTTCACTACTTTTCCACTTGATGTACTGATATGAGCTGTGGCAACTCAGACCGTTACGCAGTAATGCCTGGTCCTATGTTGATATTATTATTATTTGTCCCTCAGGTTCCCAGTAGAACATACCAATTCAGTAGCATGTCTCCATTCCACTCTCTTCTCTACAATCTTTTCAACCTCACTCCACCACTCCCCACAACCTCTCATTTCTTAATCACACCATCTCCTCCATGTCATCCTCACCCTCAACTCCAACGCCCAACTCGTCACTTCCCAATACGGGTTCCACTCGACGACCTGACCTCACCTGGCCTCTCACGTGATGTCCCCAATTGGCCTTATCAGTATATACCCAATCCAATCCATCTCCACTTACTTCCAGTGCATATTTGTTCAGTGATACGTTCTTGCTTCGTTGGTTCGAAGCTAGCCAGCCAGCCTGCCACAGTGACTTCCTCCTTGCTTATTCTCATTATTCTCGCCATCTCAGCTTCACTCTCACTAACGAGACAGCATAGGTGGCAGTTGTTGATGACGCATATCTGTAGTTTGTTGCAAATCACTCTCGTAACACACCAAGTCTATCAAACATCACGTAGAAGCAGCACTGACTGATTCGACTCGATTCGTGTTGAAAATCGGGATGTTGTTGTTGTTTGTGATGAGTAGAATGCAGTAGATGTGCACACTGATTTCAGGTTAATGAAGGCCTGTCTTGCTGTCTTTCCGACCCTGGCTGGTTTTGACATGCTCGTGTGTGTCTGTGCCACCGTCTGTAGTTGAAACGATGCTGTCCTACCTAGCTAGGTAGGTAGATGAAGGAGACTACTTCCATTATGTTTCTCCCGTTGATGGTGATTGGAGCTCCTTGTTGTTGTTGTTGTTGGTGGTGGTGGTGGTGTTGGTTGGGTATCTTCATCACCTCTCTCTTCTCCATATTCACTTGAAGTCCCATCTTCGCTGCCCTGTCTCTTCTGTCAACCTGTTAGTTTTCGCCTCTACATCTTCACGTTTGTGTGACATTAGACACAAGTGATCATGGTTGACGAAATGCAAATGTTGTAGGATATTTTCCCTGGTCCATTGCATCCTCCTGTTCTCGCTCCTCACATGTTGTTGTATGATCCAGTTGACGACAATCATGAGGTGCATGGGTGATAGTAGGTGGCAGCCTTGTCTTACTTCTGTCTTTACTTGAAAGGTATCACTGAGCTTCCCATTGTAGATCACTTGGCGTTTGGTGTCTTCATATAATTGTTGAGTGAGGTTGATAAAGGTTTGTAGTATTCGGTAGTGTTGAAGCAGTTGCCTGTCAAATTAGTTCTCGGTCGACACCCGGATGGTAGGCGTTTCCAACGTCGATGAAGTTTAGTTAAAGTAGAGAGTTGACTGTCATTCTATGCTCTGTTCTATGATGATGTGTAGCGTATAGTTGCAATTCGGTCGGCACATGATTTGTACTTCCTGATTCCAGCCAGCCAGTTCCAGTCTTAGTTTTGAATCCAGAGCATCCTTTAGTCTTTCCAAGGTGATGCGGCTCAATATTTTGCCTGCTTTCGGTGGACAGGAGAGTGATTCCGCTCCAGTCATTGCAAACACTCAGGTCGCCCACCCTTCTTTGGGAGTTTGACAAGGTAGCACTTCTTCCAATCAATGGGCAGGTACCTTCCCTTCCTTCCACACCTTCTGCAATAGTGGTTTGGTGTGAGCATTTCCACTGTTGTTTCTGCATCTGCTCTCAGTGCTTCTGGCGGGATTCCATTTGGTCCTGCTGCTTTCCCTCATTTCAGTAGCTTTATGGCTTTGAGGACTCCGACTTCTGTTGGAGGGCTTGTGTTCACTGGTAGTTCTGTGGCTGGGCTGCAGGTGGTATTTCTGGACGAAGTGCAGGTGGTGGTCGATTCAACAGCTTTCTGAAGTGGTCAGCCCATCGTTTCCTTTCTTTCTCCTCTCTGGTGGTCACTGAGTTTCATTCACTATCTTTCATTGGTTTCATCTGTGTTGATCTCTTCCCTCCTAGACAGCAGGTAACCTGGTTTTTTGACACAATGTTGTCAGGTCTCTCTTCATCTCTCGTACCTGCAGCCTGTTCTGCTTCACTTGCCAATGTGTCGTAGATGTGTCTTTTGTCTTCACTTCCTTGTCCAGTGTTTTACACATTGTACTCAGTTCCTCTTGTTGTTGAGCATCCTTGCACTGGCTTATCTTCTGCTTCACCACCTACCTCTCCCTCCTCTATCAGCTTCCATGTGTCCGTCGAGATCCATTCCTTATCTTCTTTTCTCTTCCTTCCTAATATGGTTATGCAAGTTTCTTTCCACATCTCTTTCAAAGACTTCCAGTGTTCATCTACACAGGTTTCCTCAGGAATGTTGCTCTATATCTCCCATTTTGTCTTCATGGCTGACATGGAGATTTTCTTTGTAGTTTCGTCCTTCAGTTTCCGAGTGTTGTACCTGAACTGTGGTCTATCACCAACTTCCTTAAAGGCTTTCGACTTGATTTCGAAGGCTGGTTCCCTGTACTAGATAGTGGTCTCAACCTACATCTGATCACATCTCATGTCCAGTAGACTGTGTCTCCATCTCCACTTTCTTCACATTCAGATGAAGTCGATCTGATTCTTAGTGTAGTGTATCCATCTGGTGAATGTTGAAATCGAATCCATGTCACTGCTTTGTGAATATCCTTGTGTTTGTACACACTGCCTCGAATCACCAGATCGTTGAATGCACAGAATTCTGCAAATAATCCTCCATTTTCGTTCATTACCTCACCGAGTGCTTCTCGACCCATGGTTAGTTCTCTTCCTGTGTTGTCTGCTCCCGGTTTGGCATTCATGTTGCCCAATAAGAATTTTGATGTCACCAACTGGGGTGGGGTCTCTCCAGTGTTGATTGCAGTTGTCTGTAGAATTCCTTCTTTTCATCTGCATTATTTGTATGTGCGTAGCACTGAATGATTGTGACTTTCCTTCCTTTTGAGCTGAACCTTGCTGTTATGATCCTGGAAGAGATTGGTTCCCACTGTATGACAGCCTTCGATGCTGTTGGGGACATCATGATAGCCACTCCCTCCGTGTGGTCATGGTTGTCGTCTGGGTGACTGGAGGTCTCCCTCTCATCTTCTGACTATATAGGGATAGACCTTATCACAGAATTTGCGTTACACCTAGAATATCCAAATGACATAGTCCTGTTAGGTGAAGACACCGACAAGATCCAGAGTCTTCTCAACATTGTGAGCGGCAATTTGAGAATGTGTTGGGATGCGTTTTCCACCATCCAAATGCAAATTATTGTTCCAGGATTGGTGTTCAAAGGTGCCTCGGCTAACAACAGAGAGTGAAGTGGTTGAGTGTGTCGACCACTACGGAAAGTCGAAGAAAAACACCTGCACAAAGTGTTCAAAGTCAATGATTAGCCATTCAACTTTATTAAAAAGTCTTTATCAGTCGAACACAAGACAGTAGTAATCTGAAATTAATGGGCACGTTACACTACCTGACATCAAAGATGTCTCAGAAACAGCCAACCGATCGCTTTGTCTGTTACCGATTGGAGCGGAGCACAACCTGACGAAACCCCTTGGTAGTAGCCTTTAGAATCACTCCAGCTAACTTTTAAAGAAATGTATAAGCCATATTTCCATTAAAACGATTCTTTTCTCCAAGGTAGATACACAAACTATGCAAAAAACAAGGCATCGGTTACAATTTTGTTTTCGCAATTAAAGAAAGGCAAATGAAATGCACAAAAATAATATTTTATGATTTAAGTGAGCGCATGTGTACAGATAAACAGATTGATATAAATAGTAAGAAACTGTTAAAATTCATCATCATCATCATCATTCATGAAATAGTTTGATGACAGTAAGCTAATAAATATCCTAAGTAAAAAGTTAAAATAAAAATAAATTGAGTAGAAAGGTGGCAAGATTGATAACTTAGAATATAAAACAAGTGTAATTAGTATATAATCTGTGTTATTTCTCTGTATCGGAAGGAATGTGGACTTTCGGAGAAGTTATCACTGGATTACATAAAGACGATGCTGGACGTTTTCTGATAACAGGCTGAATGAAATAATAAAACAATCAAAAAATCAGAAATACGATTAATATTATAATGAAAGTCCACTTTAAACTAAATGTGATAAAAAGCATTCAAATACCATTTGATTGAACAAAGAGTATTCTTTATGATAACTTCTTCTTCAGTTCTTATAGCATACATGTACATAATGAGGAAGGAAACATCAATAATACTGAGATTCATCTCATCAGTTTGTTAATAGTACAATTGAGGAAATTCATGGAGAAAAGTCTTGTATTAACATAAATGACAGAATCTATTGTTACAGGAGTTCAATTCAGAGTAATAATTCATCTACACGATTATCCTTCATAGGTAGTACCACATGGTGATAGTTTAATGAGACCTGCGGAAGTGTTAGAGCCTATGGTGAGATGTTTGGTGAGCGGTGTCCCTCAACGATGCCAACGCTCTCCATTCCTATTCAATTTTATCACAGAATTTCTCCCTTTCATTATCTGACTATACAGGATTCGATCTAATAACACGAGGACTTTCGGTAGACCTAGAATATCCACACAACATTGTCCTGTTAGGTGAAGACACCGACAACATGCAGTCTTCTCAACACCTTGAGTAGCAATTTGAGAATGTGTTGGGATATGTTTCTCACCACCCAAGTCCAAATTCTTGCCCCAGGATTCATCTTCAACGGTGCCTCGGCTAATAATAAACAGTGTAGTGATTAAGTGCGTTGAACACTTCACTCATCTCGAAGTCGGATCACACCTGGTACATTCTACACTCGTCACTGGTCGACAAAACCTCTTCACCAATACCAAAGGCTCAGTTGGCTTTGCCAAATTACGTCATCTGTGGTGTCGTCACAATATCTGATTGTCTATTAAGGGTCGAGTGTAGTATGTTTCAGTCTTCTCTCTTCTACTCTATCACTGTGAAATATGGTTATTAAAGATAGAAGATATGAGAAGGCTTCACGTGTTCCATCACCAATGCCTTCGTAACATACGTTGTTTCATGGTGCCATCATCATCATCATCATCAACATAGGACAAGGCATTACTGCGTAGCCATCCGATTCGCCATACCTCATATCACTACATCAAGTAAAAAAGCAGTGAAGTGGGAGATCAAGAAAAGAAAACTCAGTCGAAAGAAATATAAAATACGAAAAGAGAGAAAGGAAGTATGAGAAAATGGTGAGATTCCGTATAACGTCAAGATGAGGATAACGTGTGTATACACTGACTTCCATTCTAAGCCAAATCACCTAGTCTCCAACCACTGCTTCCTCTTGTCCCGTAGACCCCAACCACCTAGTCTGTATCACATCGCACCACATGACTCAAACCAACAGTCAAAGACTTCATACATTGGTGTCATGTTGTAGGCTGGCCGCCTTGAATCTTTTCCCAGCCTGCACCTAATTCGGCCAACATTGCATCAAGAGGCAGACGGCAAATAGGCATGTGTAACACGTGTCTCAACCAACTTAGTCGATGAAGGTTCACAACCGTGTCAACCGATTTACCTCTACTACCCAAAACTATACACCTAACTTCTGCATTACTCACATCGTGCGGTGACACCACGCAATATGGACTATACTACGAAGGCAACAGTGGTCAAACACCTGAGGTCTTCTCATGTCTTCAACCTTCAGTGGCCATGTTTCGCAGCCATACACTAGAACAGACCGGACTGCAGCACACTACACTCCACCCTTAATCAACAATCGGATATCACGGAGGGGTCACAGGTGGTATACGTTGGCAAAAGGCAACCAAGCCTTTTGTATTCGTGCAGAAATTTCGTCAAACACTGAACAACACACCAGGGTTAATCCGACTTCCCAGATGAGTGAAGTGGTCGACACACTCAACCAATTCACTCTTACCGCTACCACAATAAAATATGGCATTAATGCATAAAGTTGTTGACTATTGGTTTGAAGCATGTAGGGCGATGCAGACTGGTCGGTTAGGGTCTGTGGGACAATAGGAACCAGTGGTTGGAGACTCTAGTTGATAAGTCTGAGAACCGATGTTAGTGGCTGAAATGTATGCATACATCGTGGTCATCTTAACCTCTGTACTTAATCTCATCATTTTCTCATTCTTCCTTCCTTTCTCCTACTACTTTCCAGTTGTTGTGGCCGATTTTTCTCATTTTCTTCATCCTTCATATTATTGCCTTGTTTACTTGACGTACTGATATGAGATGTAGCAACCTAGACCTTTACGTAGTAATGCCTGCTTCTGTGAAGAACAAACTTTGTAATTCACCAGGATTGAAAGCTCTCTGAATTGATGTGCGTCGTTTGTGAATTAATATCTCGCTGAGTACGTTGTTCCTAAATGTATGTTGGTTTTCTGGTAGCCGTTTATCCACACGGCGAATGGTGATACCGAGACTGAAAGATGAATTGCTTGGACCGACCACTTCCTGTTGTTTTTATCTGTTCGACTGCTTTTGTAGAGCCAGTTACGCCGGTCGCTGCTTTAGGAATTTAATTTCCACTGCTCGTGAACATCTTTCAACGTAGTTAAGTAAATGTATGGTAGAGACCATTACTAGCACACATGATTGAAACGAACCATAAAGTGAATATGAATGAGTCGTTTTCCATTCTGAATCAGGTTGCTGTCAACCTGCTAAAAGGTACTTAGAACGCTATCCTTCAACTTGATTTGTGTTCCAAAGAAGCAAGTATTGCTACTACAACTGTAGAAAACGACAAGACGGAGACGAAGGAAGGAATGTTGATTATTAACATCGTGTACAGTAGTCATCAAATGTGTTACACTTTGCACTAAGACATAATGCATAATGCGCTTCATTTCCCCTTCCACTTCTATCTTGATTTGCTCTTAATACGCCCGTATTGTCTCTTGTGTTTCTCTGGGGACGATTTTTACCCATTGCTGGTAATTGCCAATGATTTCTGCCGTCCTTGCAACATACACTACCGATATCCATTGTGATCAGAAATGCCCACTACACAACTATCGTGGCCCAATTCGGTATGCACAAATTCATTAACACCTTACACCCAAGTAATCTTATTCCTCACTGCAGATATCCCTTCATTCTTATAATACGTAATAATTTGAATACATTCTGTTGACGTATTCATTTCCCAGTATGAATAACATTCTATCAAGCTATTTTTCCTCAATTATTCTTCTTAGAAGACGTAGATTATCTGGAAAATGTGATGTATTAGCGCTATACATTTCGAATAATCCGATCACACACTTACTTGTTAGGGCGGTATTATATATGAAAACTGGAAGTGGGGGAAAGACAAATATGACACACAGGAATTCAATAATAAGAAAGATAATGAGAGGGAAAAAAGATAAGATTTGAAGACAATCTTGGTAATACGATAAAACAAGCATCACCAAGGTAGGCTTAATGTAAGCACAAACTGTTTTTGCACACACAAGGGGGGATTAATTTATTTATGGCTAGCACCTCAACAAACTTGAGTATACACCACCCCTGACAGTTTCTATACAAAATTGTAAAGGCTGTTTTAATATCAATCCTGTGACTCTTATCAATGATATGTTTTGCGATGGATGCGGGTGATGGTTGTCTGCCATCTGCGCTTATCAATGTTTGTGAATCCAACTGCTTTCGTAGCCATTTTGGAACATGATCCCCTACCCTCAATTGCATATCATGATTAGTCCTCCACATGTATGTTTGTCTACACATATGTAAGCTTATAAACGGAGTGGTATGTGACACAATCGTTTATACAGCGTTGAGGTCTAGGTTGCAGCAGGTGTTTGGTCTTCTCAACTATGATAAGCTTAGCTGCATAATACGTCTTACCAACAGCAGACTTTAACCTTCGTTCTAATATTATGTTGTTAGATTCCCCTCTGTATGGTAACGCGATGTAAACGCATTTCTCCGAAACAGAGTGCAGATTAGGTTTCAATCCTTGCTGGTTTTTGCAGCGGTTTATGAACTTCAATGGATATCCACTTTCCACTAATGTTCCCGTTAGTATTTTGATATCACATCATCCATTGAGTCTTCCGTACAAATACGCTGGATCCTTTTAAATAGGCAAGTTCCCAAACCTCGCTTGTATTAGGTTGGACAAAAGCTATAGAAACTTAAATACTGACCTGTCCAAGTAGGTTTCGTGTAGATAGACCGTTTTTATTGAACCATCATTTCTACGACTTAGGAGTATATCCAAGAATGACAGACGGTTTTCTTTCTCTTCTTCACATGTTAGGCTTATTTTGTTTTGTATTACCAAGATTGTCTTCAAATCTTGTTTTTTCCTCTCATTATCTTTCTTAATATTGAATTCCTTTATGTCATATTTGTCCTTCCCCCACTTCCAGTAAAGGTGTGGGGGATCAGATTGTTCGAAATGTATAGCGCTAATACGTCACATTTTTCAGATAGTCTACGTCTTCTAATTACATTATCCAAATTCATAAAAGGGACTAATTGTTTCAAATTCTTATCCTTCTTAGTTTATTTCATCCAACTCTCACAAACACCCCTCCTATTGTTTGATTAAACTATCACCATATGGTGTTTACCTATGTAGGATAATCGTTTAGATAATTAATTACTCTGAATTGTATTCCAGTAACAATAGATTCTGTCACTTACATTCATTCACATACACTATTGATAAGCAGAATCTCAAAATTTAGGAGCTGATGAAGTTATCGAAAAGAATAATGTTTGTTCAAATCAAATGATTTTTGAATTACAGGGGGATTTTTAATTATCCGAAAAGCATTCAACTTAAGGTTTGACAGAATTGATCACTTTTGGAAATGTTCACGATACAAAATCGTTCAAAACTGAGATTCATCTGTATTTTTGATTTCGTAGTAATACGACTTAAAAAAGATAATTTATCTCTGCGTTTGTAAAACTTGTCCGTGAACACTACCCAGCCTGGCTTGGGCAAAGGGAGAACGAAAATGCATCTTCAGTTCGATAAAAGAACACCTCGTGAACTTAGCTCCTTTTCGAGAGGTCATTCAAAATTCTCTACAGGGTTAGATCAAACCAATGGAAGGGAGTAAAATCAAGGCATTTGTTTATAGCTGAAGCACTAGCCATTCAGAAGTTCAAACTGGAGTTATGCGTGCAAAAAAAAGGTACGTCCAACCTTTATCTTTGCCTTGGCCATCATAAAGCCCTGTCTGCCACAGATTCATTTTGTATTAGGTAACTACACATGTATACTTTATTCATTTTTCTACTCTGTCATAGACTTAACCTGCACTTCAATCCTATTTTCATGATCCCCTGCTTATTCTCATACTCTGTCATACGTTTATCAGGTGTTACACAATCGCAATTTTATCTTAATAACCCTTCGTTCAGTTCCCCACTTTGCCATACATTCATCCTGTATTACGCAATTACATTTAATTTCATAATCCCTTGTCTATCTTCCCACTCTAAACACAAATATATGTTAATTAACTTCCTTTCGAATTTTGAGGGAGTTGTGGGGATTTGGAAATATTTCAAGTTGTTATTCATCGTAGACTGACATCAATTGGAGGAACAAAGGAAACCTGGGAGCACTGGAAAGCTGTTTTGTCCTAGTATGGGACTCCTCAGAAGTGCGCACCCAAGACCACGCCAAGGATCGAACCCGTGACCTTCAGATTCCGTGGCCAGCACGTTACCATTGAGTTACTGGGTCAAAATTCAATCGTCCATATTTCAAACTTTTGTTACCTCAAACAACTGGTGCTCATTGGTGACTACCTTCGAGAGGTATTCCCGAAGTTACAATGAGAAATCGTGACCGGTGGGGGCAAAGCCTGATGGTCGTGAGGACAATTACTCAACGATGACATTGGGTGGCGGCTGCGCTATATAGTGAGCTAACACAAGTTGGAAATATGGACGATTGGATTCTGACCCAGTAACTCAATGGTAACGCGCTGGCCACGGAACCTGAAGGTCGTAGGTCCGATCCTTGGCGTGGTCGTGGGTGCGCACTTCTGAGGAGTCCCATACTAGGACAAAACAGCTTTCCAGTGCTCCCAGGTTTCCTTTGTTCCTCCAACTGATGTCAGTCTACGATGAATAACGACTTGAAATAACTTCCTTTCGTTATTCAATATATTTTGCCTCCTGACCGGAGATAATTCTGGAACCTTCTACCCACTGTGACATATATTCAGGAATGTACAGCCTAGTAAATGACTTCGTCGAAAAGAGAAAAATTTTTCTTCGCTGAAACCACGTCTTGTCTTTTCCTACATTTTATTCATCGTGGTCATTTGAAAGCATACGAGACTTACACACAGTGTGAATATCAACGTGGAATCTAGAACTAATGCGTGGTAGTTCAAATTTTTACATATATCAATCAGTCAAATTAAAACGTAATAGACTGAAGAAAAGAAATTTAAGTAATAGCATCAAACATTTTAGATAGCCATAAGAAAAGAAGATGGGATAACGTGAATAACGAAATGTGTGGATTGATCTGGGTTATTGAGACAGATTTTTAGTCATACCACCTAGAGTCTGATTATACGTCTCAGATGTCATGCAAACCCAACCGAGGAAGCTTGTATTACTAATCATCGCTCAGACTAACAATCGGAGAGTTCATGAATTGACCATATACATTAGACGAGTAGTATAGCTTGTCGGGGGTAGCGGTGAATAGACGCACGCATGATATATAACGTCTCAGTCATCCCAATTAACGAAGACTTGCCTCCTTTTGCTGCATTGTGGATCTGTGGCTGATTAATGGGTCGGCTATTCAATTCCAGCTACACCCAGTAAGGTAGCATAATTAGGACATACACAATAGGCATGATTCAACAGCTACTGGATGAATGAGCATGTGGTTGCTGAGTTAAGCTTCTGTTAGTTTTTTTCTCTTACTTTAAACTTTACATTACTCAAGTGGTTAATGATACAAAAGTAAAGCAAATGTCCTTCAATTTTATTACAACCTACCACTATACTGTCCCAACAGACTATGATTTTGTTAGTTAACATAAGTTAACTAATCTTTGGAGCACGGAAGGATATGAACAGATACATGAAGTCAACAAGTTATGCAGGCGGAAGTAATACTTAACAGTAGGGGAAAATATGTCAGCAGACTAGCACTCACAAATGTTTATTTATTGAAGTATTATACAGTGATAATGACAATAAAAGTGACGTCAAGTGACATTGATAAACTAACTAAAATGATTTGTTAAGCCTAAGCGTAGACAAATTAGTTTCACAAAACAACGTTTTTGAATGCAAAGTTTCGGTTTTTGTTCATGTATAGCTAATGCTTCAGCTATGCAAAGGTGATGGAAACGTAAACTTTTGGAGTAGTTTAGGTTACATTTTTAAATTATCTTAAAGGGTGAATCTCGAGGAGATGAATAACTTAACACTCTACTAGATGTTCACAAATGGATGAAGTTGTTTTTCTTCGTTCACCTTTGATAAATTAAACCAGATAATGTTCAGCAATGCGTTTTCAAAGGGCTCGGTTTATAACGTCCAATATAGTCAGCTCTACAGGAGTATGTGATTTTGTAGATACACATAGATGTGAACATAAATGATAGCCTATCCTTCACGCATTGTCGAATCATAAAATCTGTTCAGAAGATACGATGAATGTTGAAATTGAAACTTAGAATAATGGATACCATAGAAAATTTACTGATAAAAAACTAAAGAAACGAATCACCCCTTAACGTACTACAGTTCCTAAGGAAATTTTAATCATGAATTTGGAATTCAAAGGAGATGGTTGCTACAACCGAAGTGTTGCAAAGCCGTCTGTCAAAGTACATCAATAGTACCTTTTATGGTGTTACTCTGAAATTGATATTCTCCAGCCGTTATTTGATTCGACACTGCGTGAAGGATAGGCTATCATTTATATTCACATCTATGTGTATCTACAAAATCACATACTCCTGTAGAGCTGACTATATTGAACGTTATAAACCGAGCCCTTTGAAAACGCGTTGCTGAACATTATCTGGTTTAATTTATCAAAGGTGAACGAAGAAAAACAACTTCATCCATTTGTGAACATCTAGTAAAGTGTTAAGTTATTCATCTCCTCGAGATTCACCCTTTAAGATAATTTAAAAATGTAACCTAAACTACTCCAAAGTTTACGTTTCCATCACCTTTGCATAGCTGAAGCATTAGCTATACATGAACAAAAACCGAAACTTTGCATTCAAAAACGTTGTTTTGTGAAACTACTTTGTCTACGCTTAGGCTTAACAAATCATTTTAGTTAGTTTATCAATTTCACTTCACTTCACTGTGTATACTTCCCTTTTAAATGCTCATTTAACTGATCAACTAAAATTACATTAGACACTTGAGCGCAATAACACATTTCTTAAGTTAGTATTCATCATGGAGTGACATTAGTCGAAGGAACATTGGGTGATGGTCACGCTATCTCATGAACTGATAAAAGTTGGAAATATGGACCATTGAATTCCGACTCAGTAGATAGCTCAATGGTAACGTGCTGGCATAGATCTTGAAGGACCTGCGTTCGATCTCTGACGTGGCAGGGCCATGGGTTTGGACTGCTGAGGAGTCCCACACTAGGATGAAACAGCTGTTCAGTGCCCTCAGGTTTTCAATGTCCCTCCAACTGATGTCAGTCCATGATGAATACCAACTCAATCAATGAATCCCCACAAACCTTCAAGTTAAATAACACAGCGGCTATCAGTGGAATACAGGATGTGCGTTTCGTCCTATTTGGGACTTGTCAGCTGGATGTACCTGCTTCCCACTGAGTGTTATTCCCACTGGGATTCAAACTCGAGACTGGTCGCTTCAAACGCCAGAGCGTTATCCACTGAACCAGAGCCACTTCTTGTGCAACGAGTATAGTTTTTGTATTATTGTTTATATTATACTTTCGTTGATTGGACTAAACTGATCGATCTCTATTGGCATATGGGCTCATGTGCGGATGCCTCGATACTACCCATATGCCAATAGAGACCAATCAATTCGGTCCAATCAACGACGGTATAATACAAGTAATAATACCAAATAACACATTTGTTTGAAAAGTCACAGGTATAAGTAGCATTCAAGGGGAAATCCAACAGAAATTGCTAAACATAGAGATAAAATAATATGCTGTTCAACATTAAGCATGGATACATTTTAACTGATGGAATATAATTCAAATGAAAGGTAAGTGCATAATCGTAAGATGTTAAATACAGTGAATCTTACTTTTTCAGTTAATAAGTATTCCATATTCTCATCTAAACCACTATTAGTCACAGCATCTATGTAACCATTTGCAGCTAGAAGAGGAAAATCATGAGGACATGATGAATCTGTAGGATTACTAGAACATTCTAACGGATTAGTAGCTCCAGGTGAATGGATAGTCGATGGAAATGTTTCCGGTAGCAATGGCTGTGTTCGTTTTACACCATTCGATTGAGAATTATGATGAGATGGTACACGTTTTGCACAGCTGATTAATTCTTCAACTTCTAGGCGAATTCCAGTTTCATCCAGCCAAGGATCTTTTAAAACATCCTGAAAATAATAAAAAGTATTCAACTTGATACTTCGGTTGTTGAAAAAAAGACGGTGAGGTGGTAAATCCCATTTAGAATACACTTCCGCTCATTGATGTTATCGCTTACATGCCATTTTGATTAACCGAAGACAAGATCGCAGGGAGTGTAAATGATGACCGAAGACAGCGTATCAGGCATTAATATTGATTAATAGTAAACGCTGACCTAATATTAGCTGTGGAATTTGCGAGAAATTTGCAAATAACCACTCAGTTTAGCGACGGTAACCAGTATACGACTATTAAATGCTTTTAGTCTACAAACCCCCTCATTAGAAGGTATTCGAACAATGTTGCTAAGCCAATTTACATAACCTCTGGTACTAGTTCATGTGACTCTGCTGCTCTTTCTCCTTTCAGATTGTTCACAGCTTTCTCAACTCCTGAAATTGTTGGGAATCTTATTCCGATATTCCATTCAGGACCTGATTAGACAGCTGGCAACGGAAGAGGTTGGTTGAAATGTTTCTTGAAGTGTTCCACTCATCCTTTCAGCTATCTTCACTTAGAGTGAATCACAAACAAGTCTTGAAAACACAATCCTTTTGAAAGTAACCGAAGGGAATTATATCGATGACAAAAGGTATGTAGATGATACCTTTACTATTTGTAATAATAATTTGTAACTTGGAAAACCTGCTTCAAACCTTTCATGGTGCTCATTCTTTTATCAGTTTCACTCTAGAAACAGAGACAAACTCGAAAAAGTCAACTTCCAAAGAAATAGTGGAAATCCACTTCACATATCTACTTATGGGAAACCCACTTAAAATAGGCGGTTTAATAATTTTAAAGGTTGTGTTTCCTTAGGTGAGATGAGGAAACTCAAAAATCGAAAGGAAGAAAAATAAGCATAAAGGATACCACTAGTGATGAACTACAGTACCTACGAGAGATCGTCACGGAAAGTGGGTATCCACTGAAATCTATAAAATTCAAAGTCAAAAGGCATCACAGAATGCTTAACTACGGCCCCAAAAAACGTTTTGCTATTGAACCTCAAAAACCTCGCTTAGTTAACTAACTAGTTACTAGCCTGTCCTAAGCCCGGATAAAGAGGGAAGGTTGGGAGTAGATAGGGCTAGCAACCCTACCCCGTAAAACCAATCCAATCGCACAGAAGAAATATATAAAATTAAAATAAACTTATTCCTGATTTCATTAACCTGAAATCAATGTGATCTACTGCACTCAGCATAAAGCGTGAACAAGATCCCAATTTTCAACACTAATGTCAGTCAAGTCAGTGTTTCTATATGGTTCAGAAACTTGGCACGTTACAAAAGAAATTTCCGACAAACTACAGACATACATCAACAACTGCCGCCCACGCTCGTTCACTTGATACTGAAGATCACATGACCAGAAAGAATAAGCAACAAGGAACTCTGGCTGGCAACGAACCAACCAAGAACCTATCGCTCAACAAATATGCAGAAAAAAGTGGAGATGGATTAGGCATACACTGAGAAGGCCATTTGGGGATATCATGCGCCAGGCCATCCCTCGAGCGGAACCCAAAGGGGAAACGACAAGTTGGGCATGGGAGGGCGACATGGAGGAGATGGTGTGTGGGGAAATAAAAACTTCTGAGCAGTCGTGAAGCCAGCTTCAAAAAGCTGCAGAAAACAGAGTGAAATGGTGACGTGCTACTGAAGGTCTATGTTCCACTAGGAACTGAAGGGAAAAATAAATAAATAATGTAATCGAACCTCGAAATCAAAGGTGATAAATGCGACAGACATCCTTAAGAAGCTACTATCAAGATTCATTAAACGAAACTTATTTTGCAGCCAACCTCAGAATCACATTCTTCAGTACATGAAGGAAAATCTGGAGCATTGGACCGCATCTATGTTTATTTATCACTGCCGACTACTTGGTACTGTGGCAACCGGCACATCAGACGTACCATAAACCAGTTTACGAAACGCGTTTGCTAACACTAATCAGTCTGGTTGACAAAGAGAGAAAGAAATCACATTTTTAACTTTGTAACAGAACACTTAGTAAACTCACGACACTTAACTCCTGTTAATAAGTTCTTCAAAATTGTCGATAAAGTGCGACCAAGCGGTCCAGAAAATGAGCATCAAATATTTGTGGACATTTTATTTAGGGGGGGGGGTTGAGGGGATTCAGTGATTTTAGGTTGGTATTCGTCATGGACTGACATCATTTGGAGGAACACTGGAAACCTGGGAGCACTGGACAGCTGCTCCGTCCTAGTATGGGACTCCTTGGAAGTGCTCACCCGTGACTTCGCCAGGGATCGAACCAATGTTCTTCCAACTTATGTCAGTCCATGATGAATGTCAACTGGAATGTGTAGATAACTGAAGTCTTAGTAATTCAACGGTTTAAACCCTCAGTGTGCGTTCAAACGAAGCACTTACAACCTGTTTTTTGACATGGTCATTGTAAAGGATTGATCATTCTAGATAACTCGCTTTTGGTGTATTTATACTTAATTTTCTAATTATTCGCTTATTTTCTTATTCTAAACCCTGCATATTTTACATAACTTTCTCTTCTTATGCAATGCAATGTGACCTTTGACCGGAAATTATCCATAGGTGAAGTGGTGTCTGTGAATGATGCCCACTCTCTTCATTCCTATTCAATTTATCACAGAATTTCTCCCTTTCATTATCTGACTATACAGGATTCGATCTAATAACACGAGGACTTTCGGTAGACCTAGAATATCCACACAACATTGTCCTGTTAGGTGAAGACACCGACAACATGCAGTCTTCTCAACACCTTGAGTAGCAATTTGAGAATGTGTTGGGATATGTTTCTCACCACCCAAGTCCAAATTCTTGCCCAGGATTCATCTTCAACGGTGCCTCGGCTAATAATAAACAGTGTAGTGATTAAGTGCGTTGAACACTTCACTCATCTCGAAGTCGGATCACACCTGGTACATTCTACACTCGTCACTGGTCGACAAAACCTCTTCACCAATACCAAAGGCTCAGTTGGCTTTGCCAAATTACGTCATCTGTGGTGTCGTCACAATATCTGATTGTCTATTAAGGGTCGAGTGTAGTATGTTTCAGTCTTCTCTCTTCTACTCTATCACTGTGAAATATGGTTATTAAAGATAGAAGATATGAGAAGGCTTCACGTGTTCCATCACCAATGCCTTCGTAACATACGTTGTTTCATGGTGCCATCATCATCATCATCATCAACATAGGACAAGGCATTACTGCGTAGCCATCCGATTCGCCATACCTCATATCACTACATCAAGTAAAAAAGCAGTGAAGTGGGAGATCAAGAAAAGAAAACTCAGTCGAAAGAAATATAAAATACGAAAAGAGAGAAAGGAAGTATGAGAAAATGGTGAGATTCCGTATAACGTCAAGATGAGGATAACGTGTGTATACACTGACTTCCATTCTAAGCCAAATCACCTAGTCTCCAACCACTGCTTCCTCTTGTCCCGTAGACCCCAACCACCTAGTCTGTATCACATCGCACCACATGACTCAAACCAACAGTCAAAGACTTCATACATTGGTGTCATGTTGTAGGCTGGCCGCCTTGAATCTTTTCCCAGCCTGCACCTAATTCGGCCAACATTGCATCAAGAGGCAGACGGCAAATAGGCATGTGTAACACGTGTCTCAACCAACTTAGTCGATGAAGGTTCACAACCGTGTCAACCGATTTACCTCTACTACCCAAAACTATACACCTAACTTCTGCATTACTCACATCGTGCGGTGACACCACGCAATACGGCATATACTAAGAAGGCAGCAGTGGTCAAACACCTGAGGTCTTCTCATGTCTTCAACCTTCAGTGACCATGTTTCACAGCCATACACTAGAACAGACCGGACTGCAGTACACTACACTCCACTCTTAATAAACAATCGGATATCACGGAGGGGTCACAGGTGGTATACGTTGGCAAAAGGCAACCAAGCCTTTTGTATTCGTGCAGAAATTTCGTCAAACACTGAACAACACACCAGGGTTAATCCGACTTCCCAGATGAGTGAAGTGGTCGACACACTCAACCAATTCACTCTTACGGTTACGACGATAAAATATGGTATCAATGAATGAAGTTGTTGACTGTTAGTTTGAGATATGTAGGGCGATGCAGACTGGTCTGTTGGGGTCTGTGGGACAATAGGAACCAGTGGTTGGAGACTCTAGTTGATAAGTCTGGGAACCGATGTTAGTGGCCTAAATGTATGCATACATCGTGGTCATCTTAACCTCTGTACTTAATCTCATCATTTTCTCATTCTTCCTTCCTTTCTCCTTCTACTTTCTACGTCCACTTTCTTTGACCATTTTTTCTTTCCTCCTTCATCTTCCATATATTGCTTGACGTGCTGATATGAGATGTAGCATTTTAGATCGTTACATAGTAATGCGTAGTCTTAAGTTGATGATAATATCTTTCTTACTACATGTTCATGAATGTACCACTAAGAAAAGAAGCTTTTCGAAAAAATCTCCATCACATTCGTCTTTTCTATTTATTTCTATAATCAAAATTAGTAAAAGTTGACTAGATGAAAGGAAGACTGGATAAAAGAAGTCAAATATGCTTAAATGTATTTATAAGGTGAATGTCAATAATTTTGACAATAACATACGTGAATTGAACTTCTCTCATGTGGTTCAACAACAAGCATACGGCCAATAAGTTTAATAGCTTCTTGACTTATTCCATGCCAAAAATTCTGAGGAAAATCATATAAACCTTTGATAATCTGAGTTTCTAAATCAAAGTCTTGACGTTGTTTAGTGAATGGAGGATATCCTACTAAACTGTGAAGAGTACAGATAGAATCATGATTTTAATCAATTGATTAATAATATAAACATTATGAATAAATACTTACAGAGAGTAAATAAAAACCTACTCCTAGAACAATGAATAACTACCTACTTACTTTGCTTATCTTATCATGTTTATTGCCTAGAGAAATAGTCAGGACAATTATTTTTGAGTGAATGAAAAGTGTTTGATTAATTCATAGATTATATTTGATGAACTCACCAGCTAATAATGTACATCACAAGTCTAGGTGATTTATATGAAGAAAAAGTAATTTCAGCCTTTAATTTTCTTTTTTTATACCCCCCCCCCCCCACCTCCTCCCTTTCAACGACAGTCAGTTTACATAGTGTGTAAACCTATGCAAAAGAGTCCTCTTTCCTGATCAGCATCTTTTCAGTGTAATCCAGGAACAATTTTGTCAGCAGATAAGTGCTTTCTTTTGGTACCACGGACTGAGATCAATCGGAGAATTATAGAAAGCTTAAGAGCACTGAATAGCTGTTTTGTTCTCGATTGGGACGTCCCAGTAGTACGTGTCCACGACCTCAGAAAGGATTGAACTTAGAACCTTCAGGTTTCATGGTGAACACGTTAATCATCCAACCACTGGGGTTGAAGTCCAACAGATTCCTACTTCTGCCAATTTGCGATATAGCGCGACTACCATCCAAGGTTTTCAGTTAGTAATTCGCTTTACTTTCAACTGGTTTTCAATGGTTCTCCAACTCATTCATGATGAATACTATCTTAAAAGTAAATTCCGCATTAACCTCATAGAAAAAGATTGTTTGTTTCAAACTACTGTTATCTGAACTTTAAAAAAGTTAATTAATCTTAACCATCTACCTACCTACCTATCTATACGGCTTTCACTGTGAATTCATCCACCTCTAACTTAGATAGATCTGTTATTTCATGTAAATAAGCGAACTTTCTCACTTTGTGCAATCACCTTTAAAGTGTACCAATCATCATTTCTTTTCACTCTACAAGCTTATTCACATTACAAAACAAACAAAAAATCCAGAGCAAAATGGTAGTTTGATAACTGTTACAACCATAGATGATTATTTAGAACAAGAGTAATTTAAGCGAACAATTGTTTTCAATAACTTCTTCTTCTCTTTCATACTCTACAGTTATAAATCCATGAGAATAAATGAAATACAATAGTCGAAACAAGGTATGATGTACAATTATTACTATATTGAAACAGTTAGTCAGTGAATGGAGATCAAATCGAATGGAATGATGGAATTGTTATCAGTCTAGTGTGTTAGCTATGCAATGAAATCACTATTGACAGAACAATTACGAAATAAGGAGACATAATTTACAGATAATGTGTGTACATATGTTTGTTTACTAAAGGTCAAATGATAATTATGTACTTGGATAACGTAAATTGAGCTATACATTTCGAACAATCTGATCACACACTTAGTTGTTAAGGGATTATATGTGAAAATACTAACGGGAACATTAGTGGAAAGTGGATATCCATTAAAGTTCATAAACCGCTGCAAAAACCAGCAAGGATTGAAACCTAATCTGCACTCTGTTTCGAAGAAATGCGTTTACATCGCGTTACCATACAGAGGGGAATCTAACAACATAATATTAGAACGAAGGTTAAAGTCTGCTGTCGGTAAGACGTATTATGCAGCTAAGCTTATCATAGTTGAGAAGACCAAACACCTGCTGCAACCTAGACCTCAACGCTGTATAAACGATTGTGTCACATACCACTCCGTTTATAAACTTACATATGTGTAGACAAACATACATGTGGAGGACTAATCATGATATGCAATTGAGGGTAGGGGATCATGTTCCAAAATGGCTACGAAAGCAGTTGGATTCACAAACATTGATAAGCGCAGATGGCAGACAACCATCACCCGCATCCATCGCAAAACATATCATTGATAAGAGTCACAGGATTGATATTAAAACAGCCTTTACAATTTTGTATAGAAACTGTCAGGGGTGGTGTATACTCAAGTTTGTTGAGGTGCTAGCCATAAATAAATTAATCCCCCCTTGTGTGTGCAAAAACAGTTTGTGCTTACATTAAGCCTACCTTGGTGATGCTTGTTTTATCGTATTACCAAGATTGTCTTCAAATCTTATCTTTTTTCCCTCTCATTATCTTTCTTATTATTGAATTCCTGTGTGTCATATTTGTCCTTCCCCCACTGTCAGTAAATGTGTGATCCGATTATTCGAAATGTATAGCGCTAATACATCACATTTTTCATATAATCTACATCTTCTAATTGCGTCATTCAAATTCATAAAAGGGACTAATTGTTTCAAATAATTACATAGCGTACGTACTTCTCTTTCACATAAAGTTCAGGCTTCATTTTATGGACAACCAAGACCTCCACGATATTATTTACCTGGTGACGTCTAGAGCATAAATTAATGTGATCAAACAAATCTCGACATCTTATTTTTATAGTCCTATCACCTCATATTGTTTGTTTTCCAAGTTGATATTCATCATGAACTGACATCACTTGGAGAAGCATTGGAAATCTAGCAGCACCGGACAGCTGTTTCGTCCTAGCACGGAACTCCTCAGCACCGCGCACACATGACCTCCAGGTTTCACAGCCAGCAGGCTGCCATTGAGTGACATGACAGGAATCCAATGGCCCATATTTCCTACTTCTGTTTTTATTAGTAGCAAAACTTTCCATATCTCTCGCATAGGTGTTCTGTCATTCCCATTCCCATATATTTTGGAGAGATTGATTACTGAATCTTTGTTCATCGACATCAACACCTACACCAGAGATATGAAGAATTTTATTATTGCTAAGAACAAAGAATATGAGGTGATGGTGTAGTGGGCATTCCTGACGAGAATGGATATAAGTAGTATATGTTGAGAGGGAGGCAGAAATTATAAGCAATTACCAGCATTCCGCAAAGATTCTCCCCAGAGAAACACAAGAGACAATGCGGGCGCATTAAAAGCAAATCAAGATAGAAGCAGAAGAGGAAATGAAGCACATTACGCAAATGACTGTCTTAGCGCAAAGTGTACATATTTGATGACTACTATACAAGATGTCATTAATCAACATTACTTTTTGCCTCTCAATCTTCTCGTTTCCTTTAATATGACTAGGGAAAAGATCAAATGTCGAAAGTGGTATGATTATGCTCAAAGCGACATCAGGTAAATAATACTGTATAACTACGTGCAGTACATCAAAGAAACAAATCTAATCTAAGATTAAATACTACAACAATGCCAAGTTTTACACTCTTATATTAATGAAAATAACAGGTTTGTCAATGGCTTTATTCAAATTAAAAAACAATATTAGCATACAGGGGATAGACGACAGCATTCGTATTCGTAGAAAATAAATAACAAAATAAAAAGAACGTTAGAATCAAGGAGAAACGCATAGATTTTATGCCGATTATATTGGTTAAAGTAATAATATGAGCTTTATGAATAAACTATTTAGATGAAAAAACATCGCTCAGTCGAAATCATCTTTGGAGCTACAATTATTCATTATCATCTCAAAATATAGATCGTTAGAATATGTTTAAGTGTACAAGGGTATTTTGATGTCACAAGCTATACTATTTCATTGTATTCATGACTATTCCAGAAATTCAGTGGCATTATATGATAGACTAAAGCATATTTGATACGATGGAGAATATTCGTAGCTCAAGTGGATGACTTTGGTTATGTTACAATCTCTGAGCTATGTGGTTAAATCGAAACGATGCAACACAATCAATAAAGCATTTCCCCTTAGAATTAAGTTGTTCGGACGCTAAATGGAATTGATAATAGGTGGTGATTGAGGGTAAAGTGAGAAATTGGACTACGGCGGGATTCGAACCAGAGACCACCGGGGTTTCCGGCTCGATGTGTCACAAATACACATGGTACTCCAGCTAAACCCTTGGTGATTGAAGTGAAATAAAAATCTAGTCTACAGTCGGGCCTCGTAGCTCAGTTATAGTAGAACTACGGGTCGGAAACTTGATGGTCGCTGGTTCGAATCCCGCAGCGGCCTGAATTTTCTTTTCACCCTCAATCATCACCCAGTATTAATATAAGTCTATGAAACCGTGGCTATCTCAGATATTCAAAATGATGGTTAAATGGGATATTATGTAGCTAGTTAGTTGCACAAGGTCACTTAAATACTCACCAACTTATGAGAACGATGAAAACCAGACTTATAGGTTCAGAAAGAAAGAGTTATCAGTCTGTGCCTACTATGGTATAGACTTTTGTTTTGTTGACAATCATATTTTTTCACATATTATTGTCGATTCATACAATCTGGCTTTTTGTTGCATTCACGCCCTTGACCTGATTATCTGAAGTTTACTCACATTAGCTCTTGGTTAACATAAATATTATGTATTTTTGAGATGAATGGAGATAGTTAACGCGTTCGCCGTGAAACCTGAAGGTCCTGAGTTCGACCCCCAGCCGGGTCGTGGGTGCGTACTGCTGAGGAGTCCCATACTAGGATGAAACAGCTGTCCAGTGCTCCCAGATTTTCAATGGTTCCCCAACTGATGTCAGTCCATGATGAATACTACTTATAAATCTTATGATTTTCCACACATCTTCTGTAAGCTTTCTCAATACGTTGGATACACTTATGCCCCACCCCACCCCCCATTATTCAACTTCCACTTTGGAATATTCGTCTAATGCTTTTATATATTGGCAAACTTAGCTCTGCATATTGATTCACTTCAGTTGTGTATTTTCAGTTACTTCATATAGATGATTATCTTTAGTTCAAGCCGACAATTTTCTGTCAAGGTGATTCGAGTATGAAAATATTTTTTATAAATTGCTGTTGAAACTGTTTTAGGCTGTAAGCAATTGATGAGAAACCACGAAATAAAAATGGATCCATGTTAGTCGTTGTTGTCACTTTACTTAAATTTGTAAAGGGAAAGAATTGTATTAGAACGTTTTGTATCTGATATACCACTTTACCTCCTATGTCATAACTGATAAGATTATGTATGTCCATCAGGCATGTGTTAGACAGTCAGAAGGGATGTTGAAAGGTACAACCCTGAACAATAAATCTTTATGAAGTGAAGTAGATGAAAACGTTCACTTCATTTGATGCTATAAAGCTTACCAGATATATAGAATTACACCAAGTGACCATACATCGATAACACATGTGTAAGTCCCACAGCCAGCAGTTTTAAGAACCTCCGGAGCCAAGTAATCTGGAGTGCCACAAAATGTACGCAACATTGTGCTTTCATCAACAAGTTTTGATACACCAAAGTCAGTTACTTTTATAAGGCATCGATCAGCCTTACTTGTGAGTAGAATATTTTCAGGCTAGAAAAGGAAAAGAGAATTAACAGCTGACCAGTAGAAACTTAAAGGCAACACAAAGTAAATTAAGATCATTGAAGTTGTTTGGCATGGGATTACTATAGATTGATCCCATCTTGTGATATCACAAATAGAAAATGTATATGGTGGAAGGGAACTGAAAGGTAAAAGCAAATCGAGTCTTGATTAAATCCTTGAATAAAACATACTAAGACGCTTTGATACTTTTCAGTTATAGAATATCACCTTTAGTTTTGGCTCAATGTTCAGTCCATTATGTAATTTAAAGTTTGGTGACTACATAACTGCAGTAACTCTCAAGGATTTTGACTTAACTTGTGAGTTAGAGAACCAGTAAAGATTCAGCTAAATTTTAGATATGAAAATGCTGTGAATATCCAAAACTTGTCTACGACCCATTGAAAGCCTAAATAACCTCGAAAGCGAAGGCACTGTCGTGTTCATAAGTGACATGCTTCGAGATGGATTTCCCGAGAATCTAACAAGAAGTCATAACCTGCGAGGAAATATAAGCGCCGACAGAATTGGATGATGTTTGCGCTATATCCGAAACTGACAGAAGTTGAAAAATTTGAAACACCCAACTATCCAGTGGTAACGTGCTTGACGTGAGATCTAGAAGTTCTGGGTCCGATCCTTCGCGATGTAATAGGTGCGCACTGTTGAGTCCTACACTGGGATGAAACAGCTGTCTAGTGCTTCCAGGTTCTGACAGTCAAACAGGATGTGTGGAGTAACCGACTATTAGTGATTGGCAGAATAATACGAGAATGTTATTAACGCAATGAGCTACTTGAACTGGATACGACTAGCGACTGTTCCCCCTTTAGACCTGATACTTCACTGAGGCACGAAAACCACAAGACAAAATCGGTCTGTAATTGTAAGGAAGACAACTCTATTTGACAAAAAGACCATTTATATACAGTTTTTCCTCAGAAAATAAAGCCATTAGGTCAGAAGTTGGATATTTATTTTCATTGGTCAGCTGGAAGATAATAGTTACACGAAACCAAGGTTGAAATCCAAAACTTCTACCTTGGCGGCTGTTGACTTACAATGCGGATTTCGATTTAGGGAGATTCGTATCAAACACAGGTACCAACCTGAGTTTTGATAAATTGAAGCATATTCTACGCGTTAACCGTGATGAAGGTTAGGATTATTCCTATTACCGAAAACCTTACGGAAGTTCTTATAATTTGGTACCCATAGCCAGAGAGAATGAAAGCCACAACCAATCAATTATCAACGTCCTTCATGTGTGTCTTTGTTCTCATTCTTCAACATTTTGGCAAGGCCGCCTACGCTTTAAGGCCTTGTACATTTCACACATAGTTTGCTAAATAAAAATAATAGTCCATTGAGTGGGCAGACCATCTAAATTCCTCTGCTATCTGACTCAGTTGGTGTTGGAGCTGCTGCTGTAAAATCGAATTCAATATAGTGACTCGGAGATGAGGATAAATAAAATAATAGTCAAGACCTGCAATTGGCATTTCCCTCAATCGGTTAGTCATAGGACCTAGTAGGAAATTGGAATCAAGGTTACGACCAGAATATCGGCCAAACCATCAAAGCAGAGAAATAACAATAGTAGTAATGAATAAAAATTAGCAACACACAAACTCAGATTTGAAGTATTTCTTCTTACATGGTTATATCAACACTTTTGTTCAGTCTGAGGTAGGAAAACAAAATGTAACTGTCTCTGTACAACATGGGATAACTGACAGGTTGTCGTAAAATTTTATGGAGCTGTGACTCATTGGTTTAGGGAGATGGCTATCCACCATTGGGTCACGGGTTCGAGTCCCACTCCACCTACCGAGGTTTTGGCAGGCAGTATCACTAGCCCTCACATAATAGGTATGGCACATTATCTAGTGTATGGGTGTGCACAAAGTAGCTGAGTGCGTAGTCTAGCCTGTTGTAATAGAGTGGTTTTAAAGGCCGCCCTAGCAACTGTCGAGATAGTAATGTCTCTTTATTTTGTGAAAAACTTTCTTTCTAGCCATAATGCTGAAACCTGATTGGTTATTTCGAAAGTTGCTAGGATGACCTTTAAAGTCACTAATTGCAAAATATACTAACAACTTGAAACTAGCGCAACTTTAACATATTGAGAAAGATTATAGGTAAAAATTTTACCTTACCTTTAGGTCACGATGTGTGATTCCATGATCATGCAGATACTTTGAAGAGGGAAATTAGAAAAGAATCAATAAAAATCGGATATAATTTCCAAGACTTCATAAAGTGAAACTATTTTGTTATGTGCATTTACAGGTAGAAGGTAATTATTGTGATATCAGTAACACCATAATGAAAAAAACAGGATGGTTTAAACAGAAAAAAGATAATTTCAGACTGTGATATTGACCGATGAGAGAACGGCTGTTTTAAAAATGATACCATCACCATGATTCGCATTTCCAACATTCTCTAAATCATTTTGCCTATTATATATATACATATCAATGTACATGGTTACTTTGTTCTAACACAAAAACGTGTTTTACGTTTTATCCTATACTAATTCTGCATTTATCGCAAGTTGTCCTTAGTTGAAGGAGAGGCCGCAGAACAAATATGAGCCTAATGTTCTTATTCTTTTTTGCTTTGAAGAAAATGATCTAGGGGACAAGTTTTATGAATAATCCAACAGCTTCTGACCTTATTTCAATACTTACGCAGGAAAGGGGTACACTGGTCAAACTAAAACATAACATTAGTTCATGGAGTCCTCGACTATTGGTTTTGAGCAATGTAAAGAACTGTAGACTTTCTAGTCAGGGTCTATGACGCAACTGGAGTAGGCGGTTGAAGACTCATTTCAGTATAGCTTAGAAAAACCCATACTGGCTCATCGAACTCCGTTATTTAGTTTCTTTCTACTCTCCTTTGGCGACTTCCTACTGTTTTTGATTATTTTCTTCGTCATTTCCTCATCATTTGTCTTGGCGCCTTCTACGTTGGCATGGAGATATGAGGTGTGGAAACTCGGACTGTTACACACTAATATCAGGTCCCTTTTTAATACTAACTGCAAATGGTGCGAAATTTGTTTTTACTAATGTAGAAAATCTTTTACGAGAGTTATGGAAACTCAACTATAATATATATGGAAAAAATGAACTGTACATTCAGGATATTTTACAATAGTGAAAATGTAATTTGAACAGTATTACTTGATGTATTTCACTGGTTTCAGGGAGACAGAGTTTGATGAAGTTTGTCAAGAGAAAACACAAGCAGTTTAACAAACTAACATGTACAAGAATTGTGGAGTATTTCTGGAACTTCATTCGATAACTGTCTCTCTAAGACATCATCTATGTATTAATAGCAGTTTTAATAAATACCTAGAACTTTTTAAGTCATCAAACTTGGCAGTTGTACATACTTAATTCACCGTATAATAATTAGGACGCATTTCTTTAGGACCTCAAACAAAAATTAAAACATGAAAAGACGGTCGAATGTAACTCGTTTCTATGTAACTTCAAGGTTGCTGAGCAACACATAAAAATACATACCAATGTGACGTATGGGAACTGGAACGTTATGCAGTAACACCAGGTGCCATGTTGACATAAACTGGCTGACTGACCACTATGAGTCACTAAAGATAACTGTAGCTCGTCTGTTTGTCCACTTTACTTTCAAGAGGTTAGAGTCTTGCTCAACTAATGTTTCCAAATACACGTATACTACATACTTTATTAACTTGACAACTAGACCGCTATGCAATGAGTCGCAGATTGGAATCCCTCTCCATTTATTTCGGCCTAGGCGACTGAGTAGATTCATACGCTGTTATACGAACACAGCCTAGTGCATAAATTGATTAGTTGCATGAAACTGCACTCCGTTGCTGGGTTAAATCGCTACTATATTATTAAAGCCAGCAGGTTTTCAACCCATAATATTCTCACTAATTTCGTATGATTATTATTTGAAGAATCCTTAAAACATGTATAGAATGTTAGGATGACTACCAACGATCTGTAGATCTAGCAGATTCTAGTCTTTACATTAGTTTATGCAAGTTTATATACTATTCACTTGGTCAATATTTCAATGAAAGCACTTATGAGATTAGATAGTGTGTTATGAAATGCATTAGAAATGAGTCAATCCAAATTTATGGCGAAATTCTAAATTAGAATAAACTAAACCCTTTGCGCTGCCTATCCTAGCACTGATCTTCCTAAAAAGACTCAAAGTAAAGGTCGATATGCCTACAAATCCAGATGAGAAATACCATAACATGAAGGCTAGAACAGTTCGAACAAAATTATCATGGATATGCATTTCAGAATGTCTGTAGAGATAAATAACACTAATCAACTGCTTACCTCGACAGCCATAGCCATCTGCAGAAAGAAAAATTTGGAGTCAGATTCACTTAGTTGACCACGGTGGACTATACGGTCAAATAATTCACCACCTTCAACACTAAGATACAGTTATGAAACGCTTCTGACAATACTTCGACCTACAGTTCGAGAATCATGTACAGGGTTTCTGATGTATCCATCACATCGTAGATTTGAATGATGCACGGCTAGTAAAGAAAAAAGGATAAGTAATTAGCATAAAATCATTCAATTACTTAAAACTGATTTGCTGATATCATCATTAACGGTTCAGTTATATTTGCTTGTACATCAAATTTCGCAATAATATTCAACTTTTCGATAGTGAAATATATAGAATTTTAATGCACGCCATTCAGGAAGTCATATGTTTAAGGGGATTGATTTCTACGGATGACATTGATATCTAAGTAGGTAGAAGGATCAATTTTAAAAATTTAAATAAATGAGGGAACCCTGGAAAATATCATTCGTGTTAATCTGCAAAATAAAGAAACTTTAGACAGAGGAACAACAGTATGACGCTGTCGTGCTACAGCTTTTAAATATATGGAGTCAAATGGGAAGTATCACATGGTGGCATATGGTTGTAGGATGGAAATAACTAGATGACTTCGTAGGGGCAAAGTAAATTTATGACCAGCATTATCACAGTAAATACTCTGTGTATGAAGTTACTAGTTGATGTGAAAAAACCAAATTTTAATCAGTTTATATAGATCATAGTCATGTGGTTTTCAGAAGTTTCTTTTTTTTAAACACTATAGCAAAAGATGGCCGAAACCAGTACATTTCATCCTAATTCATTTTAGTTGAGTCATGGTCGAAGATGGTAGGACAACCTATCCAAGCTGAGATTTCAGCTCGTCAGCAACCGGCCCGTTCGGGCTGATGCAGCTCCCCAAGTGAAGTGACCTGCTTATCCCACTACTTCACTTCCTGTCAATAAATCGGGATTACTTGCATCTGACCAGTTTTAGAGGATCATCTTACATTTGACAACCGCTAGGGAAACCCGTGTCGAACATACTCAGATTTATGCTCAATGAGTCTAGAAGACTTTGGATTTTGTCAGAGTTTTTACCTAGCAGGACGATATCGTCTGCATACTCCAAGTCAATAAAGTGCCCTTCAAGGAGTAGATTAATCCATGAAGTCAGATGTTTTTAAGGTTATGCCCATTAGTACGTCTATAACGAAGTTAAATAGGGACAGTGACAGTGGATATCCCTGGCGGATACTACTAGTTGTCATCAATTCACATGAAAACTTTTCATAAACCCTGACATCGCTATGTGAGTTCAAGTAGAGAGCTTCGATTAGAGCTATGTACTTGCTCGGTACTCCCTTCACAGTCAGACACCGCCACAATACCTCCATCAACAGAGTCAAATGCCGCATTCAGGTCAATAAATATGGCAAGTATCGACCATTGGCCAGTATGTTTGTGTTCCGCAAGCTGTCAGTGGGTGGAAATATGATAGATACACCTCCATCTAGGTCTGAAATCCAGCTGGTTAACTTGAGTTTGTTGTTCCCGAGCTCCACTCAGAAGTTGAACAACTATGGACTCTAGGATTTCGGACACTATAAACCAAACCAACTCCCCTATGGTTGCTTTTATATTGACATGTCTGGCTGCACCCACCTTGAAATATACACCCAGTGTTATCGCGTTCTAACCTAGCGAAATGATTGTTCCGGTATCTTACTCCTCTATGCATTAAGGCACGGACACGCATGCACAGGCTAGCGCATGGTCAGTTTAAGCAGGTGCTTCAAAAAGAAAAAAAACAAATGGAGATGTGACATTACGACATAGGTGGTAAACGATAAGAATTCACCAAAACCGAAATGATCTAAGCAAACATATAGGACTCCACTTGGTAGCAATAAGACAAACTTATTGTGTGAGGGTTAGTGATAATACCTGGTTGCCCAAAACTCAGCAGGAGGGGTAAAGCTCAAACGCGCGACCCAATGGTTGAAGGATCAGCGCTAAAACCAATGAGTCATTTCTGGGACCACAGCAACTAACTGAATCAGTTAGTTTCCAACTAATTATTCTGGTTGTATTGCAAATTCTCAAGAAGCCTATATTTTCCTAAACGAAAAATTTAAGTCAAAGACTTGATGGGTTGGTCTTGGTAATTTTGGTTTTTTCGAACTCAACCGTGATTCATGAGCAACAAAATTACTTCCTACCCAGAGCGTTCGGTCGATTCGATTACTTAATTGGACAGTGCACGACTCACAATGAAAGCACGAAAGATTTTCAGCGGGTCGCATTTAGTATTTCATCGAGTAAAACTACCGCCACTAGTTTACCGCGGTGCTATTTTCGATATCGATGAGTGGATTTAATGACACGCTATATAGGAATAATGTGAAGGCTATTGATCTACTATTGATCAAATGTGTCAATCGGTAAAGGATCTGACTTGGATATACACTTAATGATTTATTTCACGTTGCTAAATACGAAAATGTAAACCTAAACCAGTCCAGTGTTATGCAGTGAGAAAACAAAATCCCAACACTTTTAGGAGGGGCTAAGTGAACTAATAGTATTGGAGAAAACAGTGGTATTAATTCTAGATTAATGCTGTTTCTGCTACCAAACTGAATTGACAGAACTAAATGAAGCCATCGGCCCCATAAGCGAAAAATAGTTTGGCGATAGGGCAACGAATTTCTCACAAGCTTTACACCTGAGATGAAATCTTTCCACTTGCTGAAGCTAATTTTCGGATACTAATTGACACTCTGCAACGATGAAACTAGCAAACGACAGAAATTCTCTGATGAACATAAGTGGATATAAATTTCATACCAAGCCCAATTCTGTTGTAAACATATTTCGTTCATCGGTACATATGACTTGTATGTAACTCTACATGAAATTAAGCTATCACAAATTATCGCTAATTATATTCGTAACGCCGAAACAAGGGAAGACTTACATGATCTAGGCGCATCAATATATCCACTTCTGCAGCTACAGAACCGGTAAATGGCTAGTTTTCGAAAGAAAAACGTTATGCCGGAGAGCATACCTTGCCAAGTTTGGATAATACAGAGAAGTTTTTCTTTTGAACTATTTTCATTGCATATTTTTCACAATGTTCTTTGTCAAAAACTAGTCTAACTTCACCGAAAGCTCCTCTGTAATAGTAATATTGACCATAATGTCACACCAACCGTCCAAGATGCTTCGAAACAGTATATTTGTCCGTTACCTCCGACGGATAAGAGGTGCAAATGCAGCTGGAGTCCGAAAATATAAAGCCTAAGAATTGACCCATAAAATAGAATAACTCAAACATTTTAAATGCTTAAGAGATACTGAGATCTCATCGTTATTATTTAACGGCCGCCTTTTACCACGCCCTAGTTTAGAACCATTAACAAAAGTCCCATTGCTACTGAAGTCATTTATGAAGACTAAACGGTTATCAACCATTGAATCCTGGAAACAATTCATTGCGTGGATGTTAGGAAGAGAAAGCAAATACCAGTATGATACTGAAGTGAAGCTTGCTGATGGTTGTAAACTGAGAAGACCCCTCGAACATATCAGGGATGAATTTGAAGGAGCAGTCATCACCACGACCGAATGTGTATGAATCTTCGATGAGGTCTAACGGCACTTACAATATTTGTTACTGATAATAAAACAAACCAAGTGCAGGAAATTTGCTATCTAGAGGAAGAAGTCGCCCCCATACTTTAGAGGAATCGAATGGCTGCGATATATAATCATGTATTTCATCAATATCTTGAGTAGGAGGGAGATCTGCCATAATAACCTATGTACGCCTTGTCATCGATTTCCGCGCCTTTGTACAACATGTGGTCATTACGCGTAACACTTTCGATAGTGTCGACTGCTTATTGTTTCAAATGGTTATTTACAAAATGTTAAAGTTCTCCCAACTACCTTCTTTTCCCATAAACAGTGAGCCACTGACGCATCTAGGTGTATTCCTGAATATCCAAAGCAAAGACAAGGGTTTAGTGGCTAATAATTCCCCAAGTCAATAGCCTAGAGTTCGACAAAATTCAACATTTATTCCGACTTTCATAGTTTTCAGCGGGCTTGCTAAGCTCAGGGCTCATGGTCAAGGATTAACACCATTTGGCAGGTTGTCGCTTTACGTCGCGTTTCTGGTAAGCGATTCTGTGGTCAGTTAGTCGGAACACATCGATATTTTGGCACGGACTTTCAAATATTCTATTACGACTGACTAACCTATTGCTTCCTTTCTCAGTCTCTTGCTCATGAGTACATAACAAGTGCGATTCATCTTCATCATCAATATCAACACAGGGCCATGCATTACTGTTTGACGGCCTGAGTTGCCACAGCTCATATCAGTACATCGAGTAGAAAGACAGTGAAATGTAAGGTGAAGGTAGGGAAATTCAGTCAAAAGAAACATAAAGTACGAAACGATAGAAAGGAGGAATGAGAAAATGGTGAGGTTTGGTATAGCGTCGTTAGGATGGGATCACGTATATATACGCCTGTGCCGCTGACATCGATTCTGAGCCCTGTCACCTAGAGTCTCCAACCACTGGTTTCTTTTGTCCCACGAACCCCAACCGACTAGTGTGCATCACCTCACATGGCCCAAACCAACGGCAAAAGACTTCATACACTGGTGCCCTTGGCCGCCTCGTGCCTTTTTCCAACCTGGACCTACTTCAGCCAACATTGTGTGACGAGGTGATCAGCTACTAGGCATACGTAGAAAGTATCCCAACCATCTCAGTCTATGAAGGTTTACAGCCGTGTCAACTGATTTACCTCTACTACTCAAAACTCTACTCCCAACTTCTCTTTACTCACGTGGTGATACCACGGAATACGGCCTATACTGAGAAGGCAACGGTGGTCGAACACCTGAAGCCTTCTCATGCCTTCAACCTTCATTGGCCATATTTCACAGCCATATGGCAGAACAGAGCGGACTGATGTGCAGTACATGCCACCCTTAATAGACAGTCGTATGTCACGGCGGGGCCATAGGTGACATAAGTTGGCGAAAGCCAATCGAGCCTTTTGTACTCGTGCGGAGATTTCATCGGCCACTGAGTTGCCAGAGCAAGGCTAATCCGACTTCCCAGATGAGTGAAGTGGTCGACACACCCAACCATTTCAATCTCTGTTGTTCGCTGCTGTGAGGGACTGTTGAAGACCAGTCCTAGGGCAAAAATATGCATTTGGGTGGTGACAAACTCATCCCAAACAAATTACCGCTATAGGTATTCATAAGACTCTATACCTCGTCGGTGTCTTCACTGAACAGGACCATGTCATCTTCATGTTCTGCGTCTACCGAAAATTCTTCTGCGATTAGCTCAATATCTGTGTCCCCGGGTGATGGGAGAGCAAGTAGGATTAATGAGTGGCTACCCTTTGTATCTATGACGTTCAAGAAACGCCAATTTCTAAACTGGTTGGCAACGTGATCCGAATAAGCAGCCTCCTACGAACGGTTTCTTAAGTGGTGAGCTCGCTCCTTCCTGCACCTGAGCATTTCTGCCTTTAAAGTGACAACTTCTGTTCACTAGTACCACAAACTTAGCATCCATGTTCGACCAGATTCCTAAACTCATCAGTATTAGCACAACAACGCATCCGATCTACCTCGTGTCCACTGGTCAGACAACGCACAAGCATGTTCTATGTATGTCGAAGGTGGCTTTCAAGAGCAAGGGGTCACAGACCCGCCATCTCGATCTCTCGCTGCCATACGATCATCGCCGTGGGAATTAAATAGACATAATGCGGCGCTTATGCTCAGCCCTGAAGTTAGCTATCCCTTTACATTGCTGAAAGCAGCACTTCTGGAGAAAAGCGATCTCACAGATCATCAGCGTTCAGATGAGCTGCTATGCAACATTGAGCTAGGGTTTATTTCGGCTGCGCGAGAGAAATCATTGGCCTTCGAACGTTTGGCGATGGCTTCCTCTATGAATTATTCTCTCCGAAACTACCACACCCGGTTCAAACGGTGCTGGTTACGCTCCAGTCGGTTGCTACTGACGACTCAACAGCCTCGGCTGATAAAACTCTGCAGGTCTGAAGTAGGTAGAAAACCATCGTCGAGAAAACCAGGGGTCAGTACGTGGAAGCGACAGATCTATGGAACTCTTTTGGGCAGCTTCCACGAACACAAAGCCCTAAGTCACTACACGCAACCTAGCATTGTTTCGTCCCATCGCAGCATTTCACATTGACATCCAACAGTCAGGTCTTGCTTGGTCGAAAATCCTGCATGTTGTTGGTTCCATAACAAATATGATGGAGAGGTCAGAAATTGTCGAAGGCCGTCACTTTCCACAAAGACTGCCTGAAACCCGGAAACTGCCCTGCAGACAAGCGCTAGCGTCGACCGCAGCCGGCGGTTAAAGCCGTTTGCTGTGCATTGCGCATGCAAAAAAGAAAGTTCGTTACCTTGTCAACACTGGCGCAGAAGTTAGAGTTCTTTCTGTAACTACAAACGAATGATAGATGACAACATGAAGCTGCCTATCGGCGGAAATGCCTACTCAGGTCCAGGGTGTAGCAGTGATAAGAGCGAAGTACGCTGTATCCTCGTCCTATCAGACTGGTTGACAAACATATGGAGTCGACAAAACCAGGGCATAATCTCTTGTGAACAACCACCAATGCTAAGCGTCACGTAACAACCGCAGGTTCACCTGTGGCATCCAAAGCGCACTGCTCAGCCCCTGATCAGCTCACAATGACACAAAGTGTGCCCAATCACATGCTTGAGCAGGGGGTCATCAAGCCGTGGAATAGTTCTTGGGCATCACCACTGGACGTGGTTCCAGAAAGGAATGGAAACGGCTGGTGCCCGACCACTGATTACTGACCGCCTGACGCCAAAACAAAGCCAGGCCAGCGCTCGTTACGTCGCATTCGCGATTTGACTGTGAATTTATGCAAGCTGGACATTTCCTCCGAGGTTGACCTGATCAAACAGTACAACCAGACATATACAGAAACAGAAGATATCTCGAAACAGACACTATCACACTTCTTGGACTGATGAAATCTTGTGCATGCCCTTTAGTCTACGAATGCGGCGCAAGTATTTCAATGCCTCATGGATGATATCTTCATTGATTTCGATTTTGTCCACAAGCACAGCGATAACTGCTTCATTGAGAGTTTGTACAAGGAAATTCATCTTAAACACTTGGACCCGGCGTTTTGCCATTAACAAAACCGTGGTATCACAGTCAACTGTCAGAAATATCAAATATCAGTTGGACCACTCGATTGCCACGGGCATTGTGTTGACAATAAAGGTACACGATTTCTATTGGATAAATCGGCGGGTATTCTAAACCCCCGCAAAACAGCTTTGAACTTTCATGGACCCAGCAAGTTTTACTGAAGGTCTATCCCCAACCGCGCTGCTCTCACGAGGCCACTCACTCACCCAGGGGGATAAAAAGTGGATGACACTGGATAACGCAGATGGCCTGGCCCTCTGCAGGTTCAAGGAATTTATCGCGAATGATACTACTCTTATGAACAACGACCTGAATGCTGCTTTGGGTATTTCTGTTAATGTACATGACTCAGCAATCACAGCAATTTACAGCTGCTGACTGGCAACCAGTGACCATTTTCCCGAATCGGCGGCAAGAGGAGGTGACAAGTTGAAGGTCAAGGGTTCGTCAATTTCACGAACAGCAAACCGCTAACTGTTTTGCTTGGCCAAACTTCCAACAAGCATTACTTATGTGAGCCACGACAGCTATAATACATTTCCCAGCTTGCTTTAAGTAGCCACCACCTACCCAGAGCAAATAATTCTGTCGCTGACTCGTTGTCTGAAATATCCTTGGTAGACCGTATGGAAGTGTTGTCCTCGTCAAACTGGCTCAGCCCCAAAAAGAAGACCCCGGCCTGGACTGGGAGTTCCCATCCTCAACTCTCAAGCTACAACAGCGTCTAGGAGGATCTATCGCTGGTGCTGTTTTACGCAATATGTCTGCCAGACAACGACGCCAGCTAGTTCCAGGAATTCGTCGACGCGACACTTTCAGTGCGCTGCACAAACTATCTTACCCAGGTTTACGAGCCATTGTCAAGCTTATCGAACAACGTTTCTGTCGTTCTGGGATGAAGAAAGATGTCAAAGGGTGGGCACAGTCGTGAATAGCCTGACGATGGTATGAAATTCCATGGCACATGAGGAGCCTTTCCGGTTCTTTTCCGGTCTGAGATGCTCATTTCAGTCACATCCGTAGGGGATCCCTTCCGGTATCTAAGGTATGTGCGTATCTTTCCACCTGTCGGACAGTTGTAAGGAATGGTCAGCAGTAGTATCTATTGAGGATATTACTTCTGAAACCGTAGCTCAAAAGATGGAGAGCTAATTTCGGATGCTCATCCCGCGTAACAGCCGACCGTGGGTGCCAAGTCGAGAATGGATTAGCTCAGACCTTAACCGCGCTTTTAGGTTTCTACCAGTCTCGAACGACAGCCTACCATCCACGAGCAGATGGCGTGGTAGAGCACTTTCACTGGCCACCGGAAACTGTCCTCTCGGCCACCATCATGTCTCACTGGACCGTGGCACAACCTCTAGTCCTACTGGACATCTGGGACGCTTTGAAAGCTGATTTTCGATGCCCCTGTGCAGAAGGCGTTTACCGAACTACTCTTTTGTGCTGCATGACTAGGTCTACAAATGCGATACATTCGGTTAGGCCTGATCCATTTTGACCCCAGTCAACAGATGACTCCAATCACCCCATGCTGCAAAGGACATCACACACCTTCGTGCGCCATAATGCCATTCCTCGA